TTGTAATTGGGGTCTGTAGGGTACTGATTAATCCTAGCCTGCCCTTTGATTAATAGATACAGAAGTCAAATAGAGATCAAAATGTGTCTTTTATTACTGTAAAAGTGGTGTGGAGAATGCCTTCTGATGGCTTGGACATGCAACACAGGTGGGTTTCTTATTTTTTCCCCACTGAGTTGAATTTGCACACTAAGTCACGGGCAGCTCAGCTAGAAACCTGATGACACGTCTTGCTTTCGGAAGCCCCAGCAGGCTCACCCGTGGAGGAGAGGAGAAGGTGCTCAGCTGGGCAGTCTCTGAGTCTCTGAGGTTGGGGGGGCTGGTTGAAGGGAATGGGTCACACAGGAGCAATGGCCATCTTTAGCTTTCACCAGAGCCAGTGAGGAGTTTAGAGAAGAGTGTAAATTTACCTGGTTTTTCCAAGAAGGGAGAAGTTACTGTTTCATGTGTTTATAGGAACTTGGGGAGTAGAAGAGAACGCCTCTCCCTTTATGTGGGACAAGGTAGGAAGCAGTGAGGGTGTTGTGACCGAGGGTAACTGTGTGAGATCTCTTAGACACGTCTCTGAAGGGATGAGTATGTGGCCCTGTGCTTCAAGGAGAAGGATCAGCTGTGGGGCGGAGTGGAGGTGCAGAGGTGTGGAGGGAAGAGCATTTCCGGAGCCAGGACCCGCCTGCCTGCAGAGCGGAAGGAACTGACTGGCCGGCATGTTCAGCACACAGAGTGTCTGAGGGGAAGGAAGGACCAGCATAGGAGCAGGGTGGGACGGTCATCAGTGGTCACATCACCTGAGCCTTGTAGGCTGATAGGAAAATTCCATTTTATTATATGCTGAGGAGTTCTTTGAAGGATTTGAAGCAGGGGAGTGGTGTCGTCTCAAGTTATACTTTCAAAAGATTCTACTGGATGCTCGTGGAGAGTGTACTAGGAGGGAGCGAAACAGGAGGCAGGGAGCAGTATAAGGAGGCAGGCTGGCAGTGAGGATGACGTGCACTGGTATGGAAGCAGTGAAATGAAGCTGAGTTAGCGATGCATTTTGGAGGTGGAAACCAAAAGACTTGCTGAGAGATTTGCATGGGAGAGTGCGCAGGAGACAAGAGGAAAGAGAGAAATCAAGGGTGGCATTAGAATGTCTGGCTTGAGCAACTGGATGGAATGTGCATTGGCAGAGGTAAAGGAGATGGAGAGAAATACTTGTGGGTGTTTAGAACGTGGTTAAGTTTAAGGTGCTTGTGTATTTTTATATGGAGATGTCAGGTAGGCAGCTAGGCTCAGAGGAGATGTCAGTGAGAGACATAGATTTGGCAGTTTTCAACATACAGGTGGCATTTGATTTCATATCATGGGTGGAGAAGTGGTCATCTAGGAGAGTGTGGGAGAGGGAAGAGAAAAGGGCCCAGTACCGTGCCCTGGGGAGCTCCAGCACGCAGAGCTTCAGTGGAGGGACCACATGCAGTGGGACAAAAGGCACTGGCACAGAGGTCGTAGCCAGCCAGCAGGATGTACTGATGTGAGCGAGCCCCAGGATGGACAGTGTTTTGAGAAAGGGAACGTGGTAGCCATGTCCATTGCTAGTCCAGAAAAGTGGCCATTGGATTTGGTAACAGAGGTCGTTGAGGACACTGGAAGAGCAGTGTAGGAGGTTGAGGGAAGAGTGGGAGCTGATGAAACGTGTAGGTTTGTGCTTCTCAAACTTCCAGGGTCTGAGAAACTCTTATTTCTAAGAGCACCCGGATGATACCAGTGCTGCTGGTCTAGGGAGTAGTGGTTCTCAAATTCCAGTGTGTGTTAAAAATTATATGGAGGGCTTGATAAAATACAGATTACTGGACCCCTTTCAGAGTTTCTGATTCAGTAGGTCTGGGGTGGCACCTGAAACTTTGCATTTCTTACAGGTTCCTAGATAATACCAAATCTGCCGGTCTGGGAGATTCCACACCTGCTGGTCTCCAACCGCACTTGGAGAACCCACTGGAAGATTTAAACTGATGGGAATGTGTCAAGGGAGACTTTTCATTTGTTTATTGAGGATAGGAAATAACTACAGCATACTTACGCTGATAAAAATCATCTCTTAGATTGGGAGAAATTGATGATGTAAGAGAGAAGAGGAACAAAGGAGTTAAATCCTTGAAAAGGTGAGGGAGAGGGGCTCTGAAGCATGTATTGAAGTCTTGGATTTTTGTGAGAAAGGGCTTGCGCCCCTGGTTACAGCAGGAGAGAAGGCAGAAAACATGGGTCCTGTGCAGACGGATTTGTAGATGTAGCTCCCCTTTGATGGTTTCTGTTTTCTCAGTGGAGGCAGAAACCTGGGCTGGCTACTCCTGAGAAAGGAGGGGGAGCTGGAAGTTTGAAGAGAGAGACTGTGTCAAATGATGACTTTGTGTAGGAAAACCAACTTTAAGGGGGGGCGGGGAATGACAGTATCGAAAGCCTTATTTGAAATTAAGGCCAGAAATTAAGAGTGGAACCAGCCCTAACCACCATGGCTCAGTTGGTTGGGCATTGTTCCATGAAGGGAAGGGTCACCAGTTCTATTCCCAGTCGGGTGAGTACAAGAGACAACTGATCAGTGTTTCTCCTCCTTTCCCCTCTCTTTAAAAATTAATAAAGTCTTTTAAAAAGAGTGCAGCCAATCTGTATGATTATGCTCTTCCCCACCCCCCTTCAACCACAATTAGTTCTTGGATTCAGACATGGAGAATTAAATAGTCGAGCTCTCCCAGAGTGGGTATTTATCTAGGTGGGTATGTCAGAGAGAGACAGGTGCAGGAGAGAGGCACAAGGGAACCTAGGCCTACAGTCTGAGCCAGACGAAAAGGGAAGTGAAGCCAGGAGAGGGCTGCAGGGTAGAGATAAGCACGATGAGGAGGTCAGTGCATTATCATTGTCAGGGTACAGAGCAACGAAAACTAAAAGGCATAGGTTTGTGGTGGAAAAAAGTGCCGGCGTTCAGAATTTTGTAGGCAGGGCAGTTCTTGCTGGTGATAGAGGCCCAGAGTATGACCAGAAAGGTGGCCGAATGAGGTGGAGTTTCCTGGAGAGGTCAGGGGACTGAGAGGCCAGGATGTGGAGGTGCCCGCCACCTGGGTGTTGATGTTGCCAAGAATGATGGCAGAGTTGGGAGTGGAGAGAGACTTTGAGGTAGGAAATAACTTCTAAATGAATGATGGAAAATTCCCATCTAGTGGGCAGTGTCAGCAGAGAGGGAGAGAAGGTTGTGACAGGGACTTTTATAAAACAGTTAACAGTCTGGAAGTGGTAATTGGCGGCAAGGCGGACAAACATTGAGGTACCTGGGGTAGGAGGGCAAGAATGCCCTCTAGATGCCAGGCTGTAAGAGAACTAGTGTTTTCAAGGTACTGCTTAGTTTCAGTTAAAGCAGAGAGATGGAGGGGAGGTTCGGACAAGGGGTTGGACAGGTACAGGAGTTTATCAGAAATCTGGAGTTGAGGAGCAAGGACAGCATAAGGATTTGGGAGTGAAGGTAGGGAACTTCTGGAGTCAGTCATGTGGGAGAGTTTGGTGATAACAGATGATCTGAAAGTCTTGGATGCCCACTAGGGGCACTTTTCAATGGATGTCATTTCTATGACAGCCCATCAGAGGCTGTCACGAGGGAGGATGAGGCATGATAGGATTAGCTGAGTCCCTAAAAATGATAGAGTAACATACACATGAAGTTTGTCGAGGCAGATGTCCTACACGATCAACCTCTGCCTGCGTCTCTGACCTCATTCTCTGTGCTCCGCTGGCCCGTCCACACACACACACACACACACACACACACACACACACACACACCCCACACCCCACACCCCACACCCCACCCCCAGTCTCTCTCTGCCACTCCAGTGTGCTGTAGTTTGTTACCTGTTTCTTTAACCCTTTGTTTGCACGGACTCTTCTGAGAGGTAACATAGCAATATAGTTAATAGCATGAGCTCTGGATCCAAACTTCTGCTCTGCTACCTTGTAGCTTTGTGATGATGGACAAGTTAGTTAACCTCTCTGTGCTTCAGTTTCCTCATTTGTAATGGGGGAATGGTAACAGTACTTACTTCATTAAGGATGTGGGGGATTAAAATAGTTAATTTTTAAAATCAGTGTAAAAAGCTTAGAACAGTTTCTCCTGTGCGTAGACTCAAGTATTAATGTATTTTTCTAATACTCGAAGCTTTTTCCCTTTTTCTTTACATGCCTGTTACTTTCTCATCATTCAGTTACCTCAGCTGAAATGTACTTCCTCAGACATCCTAGCTCAAGTAGCATGACACCTTTGGGTTTTTTGTTTGTTTGTTTGTTTTTCTCCTTAGCCCATTATACTGTTTTATTTAGTGTATCATTCATCACTATTTGGAATTATTTTTATTATTCTGCTCTTCCCCTCTCCCCCCTTCCCCCGAACTGTTCCCTACTGTATCTCAGCTTCTAAAAAGTGTCAGATACTTTATAGATGCTCAGGAAGTTTTTGTACCAAATTGGCCTGAAAACACGGTGCTTTCCAAGGCCTCTCCTCTGATCAGGCAGCATGCGGTGGCAAAGTGACCGTGAGACTTAGGCTGAGAAGGCAGGCGGAATCTAGCTCCTTGTCTGTCAGTCTGTTGGCTCATCTAGATCAGGCGGCCTCCTTCTGTGCTGTTGGGACACAGCCACATTCCTTTTTAAATTTGGCTGCTTTTCAGCTACAACCACGGAGGTGAGTAGTTGTGACAGAGGCCCTAAGCCTCACAAAGTCTAAAATATTTACTGTCTGGCCCTTCTTAGAAAAGGTCACTGACCTCTGATTTAGATGCATAGAAAAAAAAAAGACTAGAAGGAAACACCAAAAATAATAACAGAAGCTTTGTTTGAGTAATGGGATTATAGGTCATTTTAGTTTTTATCTTTTTTTTTGTATTTTGTTACAGACCCATTTAATGTGGAAATGAAGTAGCCTTGTAAATGCTAATTTTGAAGTATTTAGAGCACATTTAATGATGGGTTTTTTTTCCCCTTAGTGCTGCTTTTGACACAAAAACGGGGTTACGTGTGGCCGTGAAGAAGCTCTCCAGACCCTTTCAGTCCATAATCCATGCCAAAAGGACCTACAGAGAACTGCGCTTACTTAAACATATGAAACATGAAAATGTAAGTTCTTCATTCAAGGAAGAGTACATTCCGCTCTGGAATAGACTAGAAAAGTAGTTTCAACTACTGCAGTGGAAATACATTAGAGTGTGTCAGACTGCGGACCGTGCCTCCTACACTGGGGTGTCAGCGGCCACTGCAGCAGGAAGGTAGCTACGCAGAAAGCCTTGGCGTGAAATTGGTGCATCTTCCTGCACCTGAGTTTTACTCAAAGGTTTTTAGAGGAAAAGAATTAAAAATGTTAATAAGAAAGGATATATTATGAGGTATAAGGATTTTAAGAGAAAATATTACAAAGAAATTTTGTGTTCTCCACCTGATTTACTGAAGACTGTCTTACCAGCAGCGTGTGAGTCTGTGGCTCTTCTGTGTTGTGGTCATTTTGGTGGAGAAGTTTGAGGAAGAGCGTCTTGGGCTTAGGAATAGTTTTATCAGAGATGGCTGTTACTTTATGTACAATTTAATATTATAATTCTCCTATTTAGTCTGAAAAAAACAGCTTTACCAAATTTGGGCATTTTAATAAATATGACAAAGACATTGTTTAAGTTAAATAATTTTTTTTCTATTAATTTGGAATTTTGAGAACTTTGAGAACAATGCCATCCTGCAAAGGGTTGCTTAAAAGTTCAATTGCAGTAAATAAATGGGTCCAGTTGGAAGATTAACTGACTTTGTAAAAAACAGTTGACCGATTATTTTCCTGTATTGCAAAATCAAGTTTAAAAGAATTTATGTGATTACTATATGAAAGGAACTGTAAATTTTGTAGCATTGTAGAAACGGCGATCATAGAGATTTTTAAAAAATTTTTTTATTTGAGCCCTGGCTGGTGTGGTCCAGTGGATCCAGCATCAGTTTGCAAACCAACAGGTTGCTGGTTCAGTTCTGGTCAGGGCACATACCTGGGTTGCAGGCCAGGTCCCAGGTTAGGGGCTTGCAAAAGGCAACTGAATAGTGTTTCTCTCCTTCTCTTTCTCCCTCCCTCCCACTCTCTCTAAAAATAAATGAATAAAATCTTTAAAAAGTTTTTTTCACTTGATTTGAGAGATCTGTTATTCCACTTATTTGTGCATTCACTGGTTGCCGCTTGTATGTACCCTGACTGGGGATCACACCAGCATCCTGATAGAGCATATCAGGATGATGCTCTAACCAACTGACCTACCCCCGTAGGGCCAATCATAGAAATTTTAGAGTCATTTGACCCTATTGATTGTTTCTGTGTAGAAAAAGATTCAAAATCTAAATTTATTGTCTGTTCAGACTTTTTCTGTTTTAATAATTGAACTTTTTGTCCATAGCAACAGAAAAAGAGCAGATAAGGGATACTTTATTAATATACATTTGTTTCACAAAGTATAAATTCTAAATTGAGAGCATTGAGACTTAAATTTGGAATTGGATTATAATCCAATTCCATTATAATCACAGCTGCAGCTTCCTGTTTATTTTCATGTTTTATTTTAACCGCAAACTATGGAGAAAGTCCTGTTTTCTACAGGTAACCGTATTCTTAGGTACAGTTTTATATGAGTATCCACATGCAAACCTGAGTTTTTAAAAATGTCATTGCAGAGCTGCAGGCTTTCTAATCAGTGACATGTTTACAAGAAATTGAGATTGTGAGAAAAGCTGCCAAGAGAAGCTTTCTTCCAAGTTCTGCATAAGATCAAGGTGGCCTGGTAGCTTAAATGATAAGTTTACATTTGGTTTTCATCACACTTGAATGTGTATGCTGATTGTCATCACACATTAATAAATGCGACAGAGACATTATCATAGCTTTTTAAATATAATGAATACTTTGAGCCCTGGCTGGTGTGGCTCAGCAGACTGAGTGGAAGTCTGCAAACCAAAGGGTTGCTGGTTTGATTCCCAGTCAGGGCACATGCCTGGGTGGAGGACCAGGTCCCCAGTGGGGGGGGGTGCATGAGACACAACCACACATTGATGTTTCTCTCCCTCTCTTTCTCCCTTCCTTCCCCTCTCTCTAAAAATAAATAAATAAAATCTTTTTTTAAAAAGGAATACTTTGAAAATGCATTGCAAGCTAAACACAGAACCCCAAGAGACCTCCAGGAGGCCCTGGGGTCCCACTGATGTTGCCTATGCTAATTTAAGAACATCTGGCTTACCAGCACTACTCTTTATTGTTTTGCTTTTCTCTATAGACAAATTAAGCCGGTGTTTAGGGCACAAATTATTTTGGGTCATCGGAGTCCATGTATTGGCTTTTCCAGTGATCATAAGCAACAGCCTTAGTTTTATGCTTTCATTTTCTGTAATGGGATAATTTCAAGTGTAACTTATATGATATTGGGCTGGCTATATTTGGGCTATTTTGTATTTGTAGAAATGAGGAGACTATAGTGATGGATGTAATTTTTTTAATTTAGGAAAGGTTACAAGACTTTTAAAAAGAGGGCTGACAGTATTTAGAAAAACAGGATTTTAATTTACATAAATTGTTTCATAAGCAAGTTAATAACAGTCCATCATTTTTATATTAGATTAAGATGTTTGGATTTTTAATAGTATCAATGCAGAGGGTCACCTGTATTTGGATATTGGTGATTTGTTGTGTGAACAAAAGAAAGGCACATGGATGAATGTTTCATAGTTATCTATTGTCTTGGTAGATGTTTGAAGGGGGAATAGGAAGGGACCAAAAGACTTTGGGACAATATAGAAAAATTCCTGCATTTCAGTCTAGTCTGCAAACAATTGGTATGTGCTTACAGTGTAAAACAGTTTTACCTAGTAAAGAACCAAAACTGCTAAGTAAGCTTATCTGAGGATTTTAAAAGGAATTCTTCTCTTACCCTCTTCTTCCTCTTTCTTTTTTTAAAAGTGATTGTTTTGGGCCGCCATCTAATTTTCAGGCAGCCCCCTGTTCCCCAAAGGCAATAGCAGTAGCAACAGCTTAAAACTCTTTAAAATTTTAAGTACGTATTGGTGACAAAGAGTGTTTAGAAACCAGAACACACATGTGACCTTTCACACAAAAATGTCTCCGACCCACAATTCATTGTTCATGTTACTTCTTTCATGGTAATGAATGACTGGTATACATCTGTCAGATGCATAACAAGAGCTAGGTGATGTTTTTTGTGACGTAAGAGTTACTCTGAGCCAAGTTAGCTGCCTCATTCTTGATCGAACTTGCAACCTCCATCTCTTTAACACCTGCTCTGAGGAAGGATGAAAGGGAAGCAGCCTGCCAGCCGCATCCTTGGCTGTCTGGGCAGGTGCTGCGGTACAAACACTGCCTAGTTAAGGACTCAGAGGTCTGCATGTTTTGAAATGTCTTCTCTAAAAATTTGATTCCTGGGCTACTTTGGGGTATCATATATGTCAGAATGAGTAAGAGAATAAGCCAACGTGTGACTTGAATTAAAAGGAAAATTTCATTTAAGAAATGAGTAGATTATGGAATATTCCTAAAATGTTTGCTAGATCTATTTTAATTCTGGGAAACACCTTTTTACAGAAATTTTCTTATGATTAATACTCCATAAGTATGATTAATAGAGAAGGGATATTTTACAAAAGCCCACAAAAAAATTTAAAATACTTTGATGTAACAGGGGTAGTTTTCATCTTCTAAGTGTGTGCCATTTAAGAAAATTAAAATTTGATAGGGCATTCACTAATGTGCTCTGCTCTGTTTTTTCCAAATTAATTAATTATACTACTTGCAGCCATGTTTTTGAGTTATTTGAATTATTTACTTCAGCCTTATATCTCAAATTTTGTTACTGGAAGTGGCTGCTTCAAAAAGTTTGTCTCTGTGATTTATATTTTGTAATTCTTTACAAAACTCGAAGGGCGTGGTCGCCACCAGTCTCAGAGGAGATACCTTTCTTTCGTCTCCTTAACAAACATTCACCGGACGGCTGTGTCCAGGCGCCGGGCCCTGCCCCAAGCACCGGGCCCTGCCCCAAGCACCGGGGTTCTTGGAATGAAAGATCCAAGCCGGTGGCTTGCAGAGACCACAGACTGACTGTGGGTTCGGACTCACAGCTGTTTGGTTCCGGATGCCTGTTGTGCTCTCAACTGGGAGTTGGAGCTTTTCTTTGAAAATCTTTCAGACTTGTTTTGTTTTACCCTGGATCACTATTGCATGAGTGATCCAGGGTAAATCCGACCTCTGGTGCTTTCATTTTATGTTGACCCGAGGATAATTTTTCACCAGTCACAACTGATACGGTGTGAAACAATGTAAATTGTTTTAAATTTCTCTTGTATTGAGGAGTTGGACAACTCATAAAAAGAATCAGTAATTAGCAGATGTCAGAATAGGTGGATGAAATTGGCTTCTAGAGCTCAGCTACCTTAAAGTACAAGTGAGTATAGGGGAGAAAGTAGTCAGAAACCCAGAGATTTTGACGCAGCAGTGTACCAAACTCAAGGAAAACAGTTGTGGAGAAGGAAAAAGAAGATCACCTCACTTAAATTTAAAGCATCATTTAGAGCCCTTAATAAGGTCATGGGTGGATGCACTGTCGGTGGGAAGGTAAGTTAGCCTCATCTTCACGGAGGACAGTTTGATGAGATTCGGATCTTTCCATATACTGGTGTCCTTTGATTGTGCAATGCAGTCCTATTTCTTAACATTCGTTCTCGGGAAGAAAATATAAGATGTGCAGAACACACACACACACACACACATACACGGTTGCAGTGTTCCTTAAATGTCCAAAGATAGGAAACTGGGTAAATTATGGTACATATATACAAATGATAGAGTATATTATTGAAAATTATTTGAGGGTGTGAGAATAGTCATATATTAAGTGACAGGGCAGTGTATAAAATATATGCATAGTGTAACCCCAGTTTAATTTATGAACATCAGAAAAGTCAAAGGAAATATCTCAAAGTGCTAATGATAATTATGGGTTGTACAATTATAAGTGATGGGTTTTCACATAGCAGTTGTCTAGTAAGGATCTGGCAGTACTTTTCCTATGCATAAGATGCAAAGAGTTGAGAAACTCTTCTCCTTGAATTCCAAGGTGTTTTTTTTTCGTCATATTGTTTTTCTTTTGAGTTGAGGCTACCTGAAATTGCTTTAAAAGTCTGGTATTTGGATGAGTGGAGTAACACTAATTACAAATGCCTTTTGATGGCAGTGTTTTGAGCACTGGCATATTTTACCCTTAGAGCCCTTTGTTTAAGTGTTGCTTGGTTGGCGCAGTGTGCTAATGCGGCCACAGTCATGGGCCATTTTTAATAAGGGCCATTTGGCTTTCATTTGTTTCGTTTCCAGATATTCTTAAATCTGGCTGGGCTGTCAGAAATGTATTCTAGTTCTTGTTTGCCTCCTCAGTGCCTAACTTTGTAGGAAAGAGTGGTCTGGGTTTTAGTAGGAAAGGAGGGGAGTATATGTGGGGTAATCAGTATAATTCCTGGACCAAAAAAATTGCTCAAACAGCTTGGATTACTGAGTATTAAGTAGGGTTTTGCTTTATCCTTGTATAAAGATAGCTTTTTTCATTTTTAAATAGTCTTATCTAAATCCTTGACAATGATTAAGAAAATCATCTTAATATTAAGAATATTATAAGAATAATATCAAGAATATACTGAAAGAGTATTTGGTTTTTTTTAAATGTCAGTTTTGAAGTCTATATAATAACAAGAAAATTTTTTATGGAATAATAATATACATCTAATAATAATACATTTAAAAAAGAAAATGATATCTATATTAATAGCTGCAGAAATGTGACTTTTTTCTGTTTCTTAATCAGACTATTATTAGTGCATAGGTTAAGTCAAAAGCCCTAAACCTTTTTGCTTCCTTATAAACAAATGGCTATATGTTACCAAATCCTAAGGAGTTAAATATTTTTAATAGTAAACTAGATTTTTATGAGATATAATGTTAATGAGTAAAAACAAAAGCATACTTTGGTTAGAAAATAAATTATAAAGTATGTATGTGGTTTTGTTATGTTATTGAACTCAAATAGTGGGATTTGGAATTAGTCCATAATCAAAGACCCAATGGGTACTATATGGTGAGTTCAGTGTTTATTTACTGTTTGATTTTCATGTTTTCTTACAGGTGATTGGTCTGTTGGATGTTTTTACACCTGCAAGGTCACTGGAGGAATTCAATGATGTGTGAGTAAATCTTTTGCACTCACCGTCCTCACCTGGAGGATGAAGATTAGCAGCTCGTTTCTCTTCCTGAACCATTTAGTAGTATACAGACTTCCAAAATTTTTTTATTTCTATCATCCAGTTCTTCTGGGGCATGGGATGGATACATAATAGGGATGGTGAGAGTATTTACATCATTTCAGACATATTGTACTGTGTTCAGAGAGTCCACGATGAGTCCTTGCAAGAGTTCAGTGGAGGAGAGTATAGGGAGTTTGCACTATGATTTTTGTTTTCAAACTGCCTGCCCCAGCTTTTAAAGGGACACCTTTACATTATTACATTTGCTTCAAGAAATATGAGGGAGCCCTGGTCCCATATAGGTTCTTTCTTCCCTTTTATTTCATTCGTATGTGGGAAATGGTGCGAGGACTGCATGCTGATCCTTGAAGTGTTGGGTTTCTGCACTGGAACAAGGGGTGGGCCTCACGTGTTGAAAAAGCTGATGAACCGTGCTGCACTTCCCAGTTTTGTGGCCATCCCTATTACGTCAGCCTGAGAGTTCCCTGGAAAGCAGAGCCGGGCGTCTCAGGAACCAGTAGTGGTGGGGGTGGGGGGTGTAGGGAGTGCTAGGGAAAATGAAGCAGGGAAGGAGAGAAAGCTGCTACCAGGATGTGTTATTATTAAGTTGGTCACCATTGTGGGCAACTGGGGTAAAAACTGCCAGAATCTTCCAGGAAGCCATAGAGTGTACCTCAGGTGAGGAGCATTTACCCGCTGGCTTCTGACCCCTTTTGGCAAGGGTTACTCCATGGGCCCTTGCATGTCCAGGCTACACATGTGTGAGTGTACGACACATGAATGCATTCATTAGAGTGCAAGATAGATCCCAGCAGGTGTTTCTGTTTGTGTAGGAGCGCTGCACGTGGCTTTCCCAGTGTGGAAGGAGCAGGCCTCCCTCTCAGAGTGATACATTCTTTTACCAAGGTGGATCCTACACTGACACATCAAAATCACCCAGAGTCCATAGTTTACCTCAGGGGTCACTCTTGCTGTTGTACAGTCGATGGATTTGTACAGATAACAGTGCATCATTATGATATCATACAGTGTATTTTCACTGTCCTTGGAATGATGGGTTTTGATATTCTGCCTAAAAGTGGGAGAAATGCTGAAGTAATGTGTTTTTGACTACTTTGGAAAATATCTGAATCAGGTCTGAGCTATAGCCCAAAGTTTTAGGTACAGTGAGGATGTATTCATTTAACAAGGAAATTAGTGATTTCCTGACCTAGGCAAATGTTGTATTTTGGCTTAATCATGCATTGTAGAACTGGATTATGAACCTGTTTCTCCTGTGTGAAAAGACCTTATTTATGGCTGGCGTCTATATGAAAGGTTAAGTTTTATCCATCGTACCTCCTTTGGCTCCTTTATCCACTTGAGCACCTGTCAACTTCAAGCACACCCACTGAACTAAAGTTGCATTTCTTTCTCCATCATTGAACACATACCATGGCTGTTGAGCAGGAATCTGTTCTTTCCTAACTGTAACAGTACTTCCTTCCTTCCTTCCAGCTTTACTGAGATACAGTTGACACACAACCTTGTGCAAGTTGGGTTCCTATTTATAAACAGTAACTGAGTTCGTCTCTTGGAAGCAAATCTCAGTACTACTTGTTGAATACGTGCTGAGTGGAGTGTTGGAACTTGCTCCAGATAATCCAAACACTAGTCTTTGCTCTAATGAAATCAAAATCTTGGTAGGAAATTTTAAATTCAGAATGCTTTTGTAAGTTACCAGACGGCTGTATGACCTTGGACAAGTCACTTTACCTCTCTGAGCCCCAGTTGACTTCCCTGTGAGATGATGAAAATTGAGGTGGTTGACTTCTGAAGTGTTTTCAACCCCAGAGAATCTGAAAATAGTGATGGATCTCAGATTGCCTTTAGGAAAATGTTTTGTTGTTTATTGTTTATGGTGTGTTTGTATCACTGAAAAAAATTAGTGCTTGTCCAGGATTGTGGTTATTTCAGTGTTTCCCAAAGTCATTATAATTTGCATAAAAGAACTGATATCATCACCTGTAATTGCAAGGCTTGCAAATTTAATATACCTAAAGTGAGAGATGATCTGAATTGTATAATACCACATACAAAATTGCATACATCCCAGTTCTTTTGGCTCTAAATCTTTTTCTAATCACAGTTTTCTTGATCTAGAGCTATGATTATTATTTGAAATCTGTTAACTCTTCTTATTGGTTAAATACAGTACTTTTATTCTTTGAAAATCGACTGAGTGCTCAAGATAGGTAATACAGGAATAGAAGCAGTCTGGGGGGGGAAATGAAGGAGTTAACTGTATTAAGTTAAATTTGCAATTTATTTCCTTATCAGAGAGGTCTGCTGAAATAGGGGTAGAGAGTTGGTGAAACTCTTTGTAGATGTCTTCATTGATTCAAATTTCAAATCTAAATGAGTTACTCATTCTTTACTAAAATGCCACTTAGTTTTTGTCTCAGATCATCAATAAGATGTCCCGTTTTCTCAGGTCAGCTAATAATGAAAAGGTAAAGAAGCTTCAAGGCCTAACTTATATAGATTGGGTCCTTCAAGAAATCTTCTCCTAATTAACTCCTTCCTAAGTCTGGGTGGGGACCACCCCTGGGTGTTCTGTGGCACCTGAATGTTCCCCTTTTTAGCTCTAATCACGTTCTGTTATGGCTATATTTTTGTGCATGCCTTCCTCTCATCTAAACAGTATCTTTTTCCACTGTTGGGTCCCCTGTGCTCGGTGATTGTTGATGGGGTGACTGAGTGCACGGATAACCCTGTGCTGTCTTGTTTGTAACTGGCTGCCGATAGCATGCCCAGAGTATTCTTTTGACTAGCTCTTTCGTTTTTATCCTGTGATGTAGACTGTCCAGTGGAATACTGAGTCTGGTTTGGTTGATGCACGTTCGGCAGGGGACACGTTTCAGTAGTCTCCGCTGCAAATGAAAATAGTCGGTTGTGAAATAAGCGGGCTAAGCCGCCTGCCTGGCTGAATGGTGTTTTTACCCCTTATCTTACAACAGTCTGGTCCGCTTACCAAAACAGGTCTTCAGCATGAGTATGTCCATAATGTGTGTTCTTGCCTGGTCTTACAGTAATGCTGTGTGAGTTGTTGTGGGTCATTCAATCCAATTTGGTATTAATCAGGCACCTACTATCTGCCAGACACTGTTCTAGGTACGTTAGATACCACCAGAAACAGAAAAAGAACCGTCCTTGTTGAACATTGTACAGAGAAATAGCAATAACAATGTGCAAATAAAAGAAGGAATTAGATAATACGGTAGCAGGCAGTAATGCTATGGACAAAAGGGAAAGGTAGAGAAAGGAAGGGAAATTAGGAGTGTGAGGGCAGGGGGAGAGATGCAATTTTAAATGAGGCAGTGAGGATATGCCTCATTGAGAAGGTAAATTTTGAAGCAGAAGTTTGAAGGAGTAGAAGAGTTAGACTCATTGGTGTCTGTGGGAGAGCAATCCAGGCAGAAGGAACAGCCAGTTCAAAGGTCCTGCGGCAGAGAACTGTGTGATGTTTGAAATTGCAGCAGCGGGGCCTGTGTGGCTGTAGTAATGCCAGTGTGGAGTGAGTGAGAGCAGACGAGAGAAGTAAATGATAGTGCGAGAGTGACAATTGGGGCAGGGCACTGCATCTTGTTGGGCTTTATCTGCAATTTTTGAAGGGGTTTCTGCCTTTTGATAAGAAGAGTGACATGATGTGATTTTTAGTTTTAAAAGATCACTGCCTGCTCTGTTGAGAATAGACTTTAATAAGTTCCAAGGATCCTTGAATGTATATATTTCAGAGGCTTGTGGTTACAAGTTGTCAATCTTTGTGATTATTGTAAGTAGTTTCTTTAAATATGGAAGTGTTTTTTGCCTTTTTATAGTTGCTTTATGAAATAGGGCTGACAGTAGTAAAGATGTCAATCTATAGATATAAAAGAGATTTTTTTCTGTATAGGTTCTTTCTTTATGGCTGTATTGTGCTTTAAAAATAGGGGGTGGGCCCTGACCAGTGTGGCTCAGTTGGTTGGGTATCATCCTGCAAAGCGGAAGGTTGCAGGTTCTATTCTCGGTTGGGGCACATACCTGGGTCGCAGGTTTGATCCCTGGTCGGAGCACGTGCAAGAGGCAGCTGATTCATGTTTTCCTCTCACACCAATGTTTCTGTACCTCCCTTTCTTAGCCTCTCTAAAAATAAACAAAATAATCAATCAATCAATCAGTCAATATGGTAGGGTAGGAGTCTTGACAATTGGGTGTTCTCCAAAAAGTACTCAGTAAATGAAGATCTAGGAGAGAGCACTGCGTACAGAACTGAAAACCACTTACTGTGGACTTCTGCCTTTTTGCTGGGACAGTACATTTTAGTTATGAGTCACTTTGAGAAATGGTGGTTTATGCCCTTTATTAGTTTGATTGAATTTAAAGGAGACCATCTTTACAAGAAAAGTGCAGAACACAATTATCACTGGCTGTCCAGCTGTCTCAAGTCAAACCATCATCAGTTTACCTGAGATGTTATGAACGCTGATGGTAGCAGGCATGTCTGTACTGAGAGGTCATTGCGTTTGCTCTCCAGAGACAGATACTGCAGATACTGTGTGGCTGTCAGTGCTTCTCTTGGAATTGGCTTGTGTACAATGTGCTCATCTGTGTTTTCCTCCCACTCCCTTGTTCACAACTTTTAAAAGTTGGTGTGTCTTTCATAAGTATTGAGAAACTTGGCACAATGCTTGCTTTTGTGCACGGTTGCAAGGTTTATTTTGGAAACCTTTCTGTATGTGATGAGTTGAAATTTGACAATTGGTTGTCATGGATTGGTCTTGGAGCTTTGTGGAAACAGCATACAGTGATTTTGGTAGTTTCTGCAAGACACTTTTGCCAGAAATGATGCTTTTTAGTTAATTTGATTGTAGCCTAGCAGCACTGCTTGGGAGTTATTACCAGATAGACTGATAAATCTTCTACACTTACGTAATGTTCAGACAGTCTCACCTTCCGTCTGGAAATTTTAGTGATACAATGGATGTAGCCTCTGATGGGGAGAGGTCTTGAGGGGAATTGCACAGTGGTGGAATATTCTAACTAGAAGTACGTTCTCTCTCGCTCTCAAGCTGTGCAATAAGTGGCCTCCTGGTTGTATGGGATTTCTTGTCACTGGTAACCATTGAAATTCAGTAGTTACATTTGAAATTACTGTGGCTGCCTTGGTAATACTGATCAACACCTTTGTGAACTAGCACAAACTTGTCAGAGCAGCCGTTTGTAACCTTTTCATCTCGTTTTAATTACTAAAATTCTGTAGCATGCCAAAAAATACATTTTTTGCCAATCTGACAAAAAAATTTAATTTTGATCCATTCACATTAGGTGGCTATTGTTGTGTTGGCTGTTGTCGTTTTTTTAATTTGACAACTAGGGGAAAAGGGGTCAGTGCCCCTGACTATAGACTCGGGTACGGCATGTTTTAGAGAGTCTTGCAGCACACCTGTTGAAAATCGCTGTGATAGAGGGTTAAGATTTTTTAGATTTTTATTCCAAGATAAATTAAGACAGATTTGGGTAGAATCATCCAAAGCAATGTTTCCACTGTTTAACTTTTCTCCAAATTGTTTTTCAAGGTTGAGAGAATACTCTTATAAGAAAGAAATTGGATTCTGACTCCCTCAACCTGAGCCTTGTCATAGTTGGTGTCACGGACGTGGCAGCCATTATCCAATTTTCTGGGGGGAGTTCTGATTTCAAAATATGAATCAATTATTCACAGTTTTCTCACTTGTCAGATTATGTGTCAATTTAGGGTTAAAAAATACAGCAACTGATTAGAATGGAGTATTCATTGTTGTTTTTTTGCCAGATTTCTTTTTCATTAAAGGTTAACTTTGATAGTAAATTTTGGGAATTGATAAGAAAATTACTTCCCTAGTTTTTGTGACATTTATGAAACGTATTTTTAGAAAATCATTCTCTTAACTTAAATTTTGTGTCAGCTGGGAGAATTTGGAGGCAGTTCAAATAGTTTTGGATGCAACCCCTGACATTACCAATCTTTTAACCTTGAGCAAGTTCATGTTCTTGTTCTGTCCCTGCTTCCTCATCAATGAAGTGGGGGCACCAGTGGGACTCCCCTCACAGAGTGGTGGGGACAGCCGTACTTGGCCCCGAGTAAGCACTCACTGACTCTGGTTGTGCTACGCCGAGCTTGGAACATCCCTTAAATAAGGACTGCCTTTATGAAAACATTTCAGGAAGTCCAGTGTAGACTTCAGATTACATTTAGAGTCCATCGTTTCCTCGAGGCAATATAAACATGCAAGTTTTAAAAACGTGAAATGCTAAAAAATCTTACCTTAAGGTCATATCTAGGCTAAATCCTTTTGATCTTAGTGGAACTAGAAACTGATCATAGTAGCCCAACATGGAAATTAGAAAACAAAACAAAACAAAAATCCAATTGTTCTTTCAGGAAAGAAATGACTAAATACAATGATGTGTGTATATGTAAAGAGAGGTCATACACATATTTATTCATGTAACACATTGTAGTAGATTTAAATTTATTGGCCTGGTTTCTTTCCCTCCAAATCTATTATAAAAAAAAAGAAACAAATGAAATCAGCATTCTTCCAAGTTGAACTAGTATACATTATTATTCAGCCTCAGGAATGGGTAATGATTCTTATACACCAGATAAAACCTAGCCTCATTTAAAAAATAGGGCTCTTTAGTACTGATGTGGTTTTCACGTTCCCTTCCCTGTGTAATACAGTGATGAGTGGGTAAGGCAGTCCGTCTACAATATCTCTGGTGAACCTATTGGGCTTGAATGTAATCATTCCCTAATCTTACCACATGAAAATAGGATTAATTGCCAGCACCACACCTGTGAGAAGTTCTAGACTGCCTCATCTTGCTTACAGGTAAAATGTGTTCCTCCTTTTTTTAAAGTAAGTGCAGGAATGTTGTCAGTGAATAATGTCCTTTACCAGTCATTCCAGAAAAAGAATTACAATTTGAAATTTTAAAGATACTCCTAATTTAGAACCTGCAATTTGGAGGAGTTACAATGCGGTGAAAACAGAATGATGGATTGAAAATGCAACAAGATGCTTTATCATAGCCTTACATTTAGTTATCCTGTGTATTTCTCATGCAGTAACAGTTTTAAAGAAAAGTGATGTTAACACATGTCATTCTAATGTCCATTTTTGCTGTTTACTTTTTCTTTAGAGAACCTAGGAAAAGATATGTCAAGTAGGAGCGAGTATGAAATTTTTAGAAAAACAGATGACAGGTGATAAAGTTAGAATAGTGGTATTGAAGATGAACCCCCGTGAGAAGTTACTAAGCTTTTAGCTGTCACTGTGGTACAGCTAAGGCTACCGGGTAGCCTTTTCTTTAAAAGATAAGAACTTTCTTAAGATTTCTGGATTACTGTGTAACTCTCCTTTAATTTCTAGGTACCTGGTGACCCATCTCATGGGGGCAGATCTGAACAACATTGTGAAGTGTCAGAAGCTCACGGACGACCATGTTCAGTTCCTCATCTACCAGATTCTTCGAGGTCTCAAGGTACAGGCAGTATTAGTAATGATTTTCAGACGTGAAATTCTTTCCTTTTCTCTCCTCTATTTAGGATTTAAGAAGAAAAAAAACCCTTTACTTACGGAAAATTTTGAGCCCTCACAAAATCACTAGTAACAATCATAGTTTAATGAACCCTTGTGTTTACTCAGTGACCACAGTCACCAGTGTGTGGCCACGTTTGTGTCTTCTGTGTCCCCAAGCCCTGGATTGTTGTGAGGCGAGTGTGGACAGCAGCTCATCCCGCCCTTCGGCACTGCAGCGTGTGTGCGCGTGTGTGCGTGTGTGGGAGTGGGGGGCTCTTCGTTATTACACCTGCGCGGAGGTGATCAGTTCTTGGTGTGATCTAATATTTGGTTGGCGCCCTGTTGAAACTTTAAAAACATCCTCAGGGAGGCTAATCTGTTGGTGGGAGGGGTAGATAAATAGTGTTTTAAAATTAAACCATTTTTGACATTTAACAGTTTTGAGTCCTTATTGAGCTCCAGAGAACCAACTAGAAAATGAGGTTGAACCCTTTATTTCACTCATACTTCAGCTCTGAGTAGAGTTGATGGTCTGGAAATCATAGCTATGATAAATGTACAGACCACTAATAGGTACTTGTTCTGGTTTCTGATCCCACTGTCAGTACTACCAATTCGTATTGATTTATGAGAATGCACTTCTAATAACTGTGTAATGTGGCAGTAGGAGGTTGGGGGGACGATGCTTCATTTAACTGACTCTTTTCTGTTTCACAGTATATACACTCAGCCGACATAATCCACAGGGTACGTACCGTCTTGTGTTTTTATGGAATTACTCTGGGGGACGGCGTGGGAGGGTGCGGTGGCTCAGAGAGACTGTCATGTGGCCAGGGTCCCAACCCACACTTCCTTCAGCCTTGGGAATATTGATTCACTGCAGCTTTACTCTAGGTTTAAACTGATTAGAGAATGAGGATGTATAGTTTTTACCTATTTAACACTCATTAGGACTAGATAGTGACTGCAAAATGGAGATGGTCTGAGTTTATGTTTGGATCTTCAGCATTACTGGGAAGGAGAGCATTTACCACACGCCATGGAGTTTTGACCCTCTCCTCTCTGCTTGTGTCCCAGGACCTGAAACCCAGTAATCTAGCTGTGAACGAAGACTGTGAGCTGAAGGTAAGGGGAAGAGACCGTGGGAAGTATGTGTTTCACTGTGCAATTATATTCGATTAACCAGGCAAATTTATGTCGGGAATGCTTTATAAGTTGTAACTTTTTATCTGAAAATTCATAAATTCATATTGTCCTTAAGAATATCAAACTTTGAAATTTAAATCATAGATTTAGTAAGCTTTAGTTTTAAGTGGCATTAAAGGTGGTATCAGGTATCTTGTTTTCATTCCAAAAGTTAAATTTGAAATTTAACATTTTATATAAAAGAAAATTATAGTCTGACTATCAAGTAAGCAACCCGGAAGAGATTTTAAGTGTACATTTGACAAGTTTATATATCCACGTAACCACCAGCTCAGTTATGATAAAGAACATTTCCATCACCTCAGAAACTTCCCCTGGGTCCCGCCCTGGCCAGTTCCCACCCCTCTACCCCCCAGTCCTCGCTGCAGCCAGTGACCTGCTTTCTGACACCGAAGAACAGATTGATCTTCTCTGGAGTTTCATGCAAATGAATCTTACAGTGCTTATGTGTGTGTAAGAGAAACTTTTGCTTGGTATAATATTTTTCAGATTCGTCTGTATTGTGTGTTTCAATAGCTCATTCCTTTTTTATTGCTGAGTAGTGTCCATTTTACGAGTATACCACAATTTGTTTACACATCTGTCTACCGATAGACATTTGCTTCAGTTCGAGTTTGGGGCCGTGTAAAGTTGCTGTGAAAGTTCACGTGCAAGTCTTTGTGTGGACCTTTGTTTCCGTTGCTTTGGGGTAAATACCTAGGAGGGGTATTCTGGTTTTGCCTTTGGTAATTTCATGTTTCACAGTGCGTGCTGTGTTTACCGTGCATTTTGAACATGGACCAGGAAGAATATCTGTGAAAATGCTGTATGGGCCTCCCTTTTTTAAAGGCACTAGGATTTTTTTCCTCCTGCTTTACAAGTCTTAGGAGTTTGACTCTCAGTGCCTGACTTCTTTGCTTTCCCTCAGATCTTGGATTTCGGACTGGCTCGACATACAGATGATGAAATGACAGGCTATGTGGCCACCAGGTGGTACAGAGCCCCTGAGATCATGCTGAACTGGATGCATTACAACCAGACAGGTATTGCTCATGTTGGTTATTTAGGGCCTGTTAACGCCGGCCTGGGTATTTAGGGATTCTCGAAGGAGAGGTGGGAGGAGGAGGAGGAAACCTCTGTTCTTCCCTCGGTGATCCTTTTAAAGTCCACAGAACGAAGATATTTCAGTTGCTCACCTAGAGAAGGCGAAGTTTTTTTTTTTTTTCAATGTATGGTTGCTTCTCGTACATCCCCTGCTGGGAACTGGCCCCAGCTGGGAACTGGCCTGCAACCTGGGCATGTGCCCTGACTGGGAATCGAACCGTGAGAAGGCGAAGTTTTAATACACAGCTTTCAGGTGTTTTGTGATGTAACAATTGGGTTTTTATTTATTTAGATTTTTAACTTATTCTCCGAGTATTTCTGCTTGAAGGCAGTGGGTTCATAATCTTAACCTCTCAGTATTAGTTGGGAGAATCCACCATTTCTACCAAGAAGGAACTGTTGCCCCTTTGTGAACAGTTTATTTCTCTTGCCTTAATTATGTTTCGCCTTATCCTACCTGTGAAGCCCGTTAGTGTGGTAAAGGTCTTAATAAGCTTACTTATTTCAATAAAAAGGAGTATGATTGTTTAATCTCAGATGTCTTAAATATTCATTTGAGTGTTTTTGCCCCTAGTTACAGTTTCATTTGTGGCCAAATATGATAGTAGTGACATTGTATACACTTTATTTCTGTTTAATTTTGCCAGTTGACATTTGGTCGGTGGGATGCATAATGGCCGAGCTGTTGACTGGAAGAACGTTGTTTCCTGGGACAGACCGTATCCTTTAAAAGCTTTGGATTCTTATTTTTTTTAACTGTGTTTCAGTGTCTGTGGAAATATATTACTTTTGCCTGTCTCTCGGGAAGGTTCTCAATTACTTGCCTTTAGAGTCCATATACATATGAGCCCTGCCCTCTTGCTGAGTAGTATCTTGCCTTGACAAGAAGGAGACTTCGTTTTACTTCTGTGAGTTAGAAAAATTCCTCATAAGCCGGGAAATCCTTTTTTGCAGTGAGTTTCATATTTATATTCTGCAACCTGAGCATATTCGTGAGAAGCTCTAGGTTTCAATGACTGGTTGAACCTGCTTGTATAGACACTTGATGAGCACAAATACCCAATTTATAAGTCAGGAGTATCTTTTTTATGTTTGGTTTACATGTTAAAAGCTATGTTTGGTCTCTGTAATGATACAACTGCTGACCCTCATTGTGTCTGTTTAAACAAGAAGGGACAAGGCCGCCCTGGTGTGCTCTTTTTTTCTCTTTTTCAAGCACAACTCAGTTTTTACCCCAGATTGTAGCCAAACCTTAATTTACTTCCAGATTTGTTGTCTACTTTATGGTTAATCTTGGCCTCCTTGTATTAACACTTTTCCTCTCTGCTGCATGCCTGCTGCACGGCTTAGTAAGAATATCAAAATAGGCTTTGTTGAAACTCCCCTCCGTTCTACTTAGTGAAGATGTTTACGTGAGAAAGAATGTTGAAATGATATTTCTAGGTTTGAGGATTTTTGTAAAATTCATTCGACTAGCCTTCTGTGGGGTAGGCTGGGCCTTTAGAGGAGCCGCAGGCGCCGGGGTCCGTCACACGTAGAGACCTGGAGGTGGCCCCTCAGCAGAGCAAGCTTTGCAGGTGTGAGCCAGAACGTCAGTGTATGTGCTACAGTCTGGGACATGCTTCTGTGGTGACTGTGATGTTCGGGGTCTCTAGCCACATATTCTAACTCTCTTCTGCCAGAGAAAATGGTACTTTCCTAATCAACTGAGAAGGCCTCTTCCCTTGGGTAAAGCTGTTTATTTTCCTCTGAATGTTACTGGGTTGATAGAGTTCCAGCTCCTTATATTTAGCGCACCTTACTGCTCCTCATCTCTAGATTTGAAGTTAGTTTAATAGTTTGCATTCCTCCTTTGCCTTTTGCTTCATTCACCTTATATCTGTTCCTTAGAAATTTGGTATAAACATTATGGTCAAAGCCAGGAGAAGTGGGGGAAATGTGTATTCCTCCTTTTCCTTGGGTGCATGTCTCAGGGTCCGTCCTGAGCACACTGCTCTAATGCTGTTCTGTTTGCCTCTCTTTCTCCTCTTTGTACCTGTCTCCCCATTGCCCCCAATTAGTCTGAGACACTCACACCTGCAGACACAGAGAGGTGGGTGGGGCACAAGCTGTAGGTCATACTCTGGGTTTAGATTGCGAGCTCTTTTACTCCCAGCTGTGTAGCTTCCAGCAAGTGTTCTCAGCTCTGTCTCTGGGTTTCCTGAACTATAAAATGCTGGTAATAGTCCCTAACTCACAAGGGGGTGTGAGAATTCAGTGAGATGACATCTGGAAAGTGCCTAGAACAGGGCCTGCCGGGAAGTGTTAGCCATCTTATTTGGGAAGCATTTTCTCCCTTCATCTTCACACTCTGTTGTCTACTACGACTCATTAAAGCATAACTTTCTGTTTTACTTAAATTTTGTGACAGGCAGTAAAGGACGGATCTGTTCAAAGGCCGCTGGTAGGTTTCAAAGCAGTTGTGCCCCGTGGGCCCACCTCAGAGACAGCTGCCTGCTCCCTGGTGGCCCGGCCTTTTAGATGTGAACTTGCAGCCCGTGGGACACCTTTCCTTCTATGCGTACTTCTTTTCCTCCTAGAGCTTTAGATAGAAACCCTTGCATTTAAAATTTTTAGTAGGTGATTCTTTTTTAATACATGGGAATTCATTTCAAAGTTCTTATTTTAGTAATATGCTATTTCCTGCTTGGCTCTTTCTGAGGCAGATATTCTCCGGGATCATAAAAATCAAATTCTCACAGGATGTGTTACCAAATGTAAGGTCATGAAGATTTATTGTTTCCTTAGTAGATTTTTATGGGTTTATCTGTTATACTTAGGTGTGATCCATTTTGAGTTAATTTTCTTTTAAAGATTTTATTTATTTATTTTTAGAGATAGGGGAAGGGAGGGAGAGAGAGAGGGAGAGAAACATCAATGTGTGGTTGCCTCCCATACGTCCCTAACTGGGAACCCACCCATGTGCCCTGACTGGGAATTGAACCGACAACCCCCTGGTCCACAGGCCAGCACTCAGTCCACTGAGCCACATCAGCCAGGGCATTTTGCATTAATTTTTTGTGTGATGTGAGGCTGAGGGGTACGATTTTATCTCTTGCACATGGAAATTTACTTGTCCCGTTGAATGGGCTTGGCCCTCCTGTCAGTGGTCCATTGCAGTACGTGGGTCCATATAGCAGAACCATGCTGTTTTGATTGCTATAGTTCTATGGTAAGTTTTAAAATCAGAAAGTGTGAGTCCTTCAATCTTATTTTCATTTTCAAGATTTCTTTCTTTTTTTTGTTTTTTTGTTTTTGTTTGTTTGGCTCTTTAGGCTCCCTTGTAATTCCATATGAGTTTGAGGATGTGCTTTTCCATTTCTGCAAAAAAGCTGTTGGAATTTTGATGGAGATTGCATTGAATTTTTAGATCACTTTGGGTAATAGTGACATCTTAACAATGTTAAGTGTTCTTATCGAGGAAAAGGCGATGTCTTACCATTTATTTAGGTCGTCTTTAATTTCTTTCAGTGATGCTTTGTAATCTTCAGAGGACAAGTCTTTTACCTCCTTGGTTAAATTTATTCTTAGGTATTTTATTATTTTGCATGCTATTGTACATGGAATGTTTTCTTTGTTTACTTTGTGCTTTGTTCATTGTTGGCGTGTGGAAACACAACTGATTTTTGTTTGTTGCTCTTGTACCCTGCAGCTTTGCTCAGTTTGTTTACTAGCTCTAGTAGCTTTCCCATGGATGTTGATATTTTCTATATATAGGATCGTGTCATCTGTGAAGAGATAGTTTTACTCTTCAGTTCCAATTTATATGCTTCCCCCCTCGTCTGATTGCTCTGGCTAGAACTCCCAAATACAGTGCTGAGCTGCAGTGGTGAGAGTGGGCGTCCTTGTCCTGCTCTTACCTTACAGGGAGAACTTTGTCTTTCACCACTGGGTATGGTTTTATCTGTGCATTTTCCTTAAATGCTTTTTATGGTGTCACGAAAGCTCCCTTCTGGCCGTAGTTTTATATATTTTTTTTATCTGATCTGAACTTTCAAGTTCTTTAGCCTTGATTTAGATTACATTTACATTTGATCACATCGGTATTACTGTGCAGTTTTAGATCTCTGCAAGTCTTTCTATTTTAGCTTTTCATTTTTGTGTGATTAGTTTTTTTCTTTAGAGATTCCTTTGGTATTGGTTGTTAATAATTCCTGAAGTTCCCCTAAAGATATAAGTAATACTAACTTTTGTCTTGGGGCTAATTATATGTATAGTTAGGCTTGAAAGTTTTCTCATTTGTGACTTGGCAGAACCCTTCCGATGAACTCAAGGTAGAGTCATAAATTTCGTGAAGAATGAAGCCCTTCCCTGTAAGTCTAGTTGACTGGGCATGTCCAGTGCACGCAGTGGAAAGAACTTTAGAAGAGACTGAGGATCCAGATTGTCTCCTCAAGTACAGTGCCAACTTACTGTAAACAGCTCTTGGCTTTGAAAAGAGTGAGCCAGTTAGATAAGGGTCATTACTAACATTCGACAGTCTTCAGCCTAAGGAAGAAAGAAAACAAGTGTTGTAGTCTGTTAAACGTCGAATACTGCTTGCTAATACTGCTTGCTCTCCCAGAGGTCACGGCCTTTGTTTACTGTTACTCTCCTTTCCTAGGTAATCAAATGACTGTCCTTCGTGTGTAAAACTTTTTCTCCTTGTATGTTAATAGAAAGGGTTCTCTTAAGACATTAACTGGAGGACAGCGGGGCTGTCAAGTTATGACCCACATCAGCTTGGCGCCCCACTCCATGAATTTTCATTGTGTATTAAATTCACTCCTTAATTCTGCTGAATTGTTTCCTTCTTTGATTTTTTCAAATATTTCATTAAATACTTAGGACATAAAAAAGACAAAGAATAGTAAATGAGCACCTGTGTTCACGTGACCCAGACTGTGAGACAAAACATTGTCCATGGAGCTGAAACTGCTGGTGTCTCCTGTCACATCCTCCCCTCACCTCCAGACATCGATTTCAAATACTCGCTCTCATTTTTAAGATATTATTTGTTTTAGAGAGAAGGGAAGAGAGGGAAAGAAACATGGATCGGTTGCCTTTCGCCCACCCACAGCTGGGCTCCTGGCCCACAACCCACGCACGTGCCACGTGCCCCGACTAAGAATTAAACCAGGAGCCTTTCCATCTGCGGGACGATGCCCAGCCCGCGGAGCCACACCAGTCAGGGCTTCGCTCTCATTTTCAAAAAACAGTTGCACTTTAGACACTAAAAGTCAAGTGTCTTAATGAAGAAGAAAAATACAGTGGAACCTTGGTTCTTGAACTTAATTTGTTCTGGAAGCCTGTTGGGAAAGAGATTTGTTCAAAAAATGAATCTCCTCTGTTGCCTGAGAGACGCGTGGCTGACGAGACAGGCATCAGCATGACAGGACTGTCGGTCGAGACCCGAAGTTTTGTCCAGTGACTGAGATTTTTTTTTTTTTGTGAACATCTTAGTTGAGAACCAAGTTGTTTAAGATGGGAGATCTTTGAGAACCAAGGTTTGACTGTATTTTACTAGGTTGTTATTTGCCCTCCCTTCTCAAATTTAAGAATGTAGTTTTCTAGAAAAAGCCAGAATTCTCAGGTTTGTTCACAAACCTAGAGGGCCTTAGAAATTTTCCTTGCGTGACAGTGAAAATGACTATTTTGATGACCAAGAAGACAAGCAGGTGGGCTAAGTCTCCTTCTGGTG